GCATTTATATAGCACCTACTGTGTGCTGGGCACTGTGCTAAGCATGTTACAATTATTATCTCATTTGATCTTTACAACAATCCTGGGAGGAAGGTGCTATTATGATTCCCATTTTACAGATAAGGAAACTGAGGCGGACAGTGGTTTAGTGACTTGTCCAGGGTCACACAACTTAGTAAATGTCTGAGTTTGGATTTGAACTCAGATCTTCTTGATTCTAGACCCAGCACTTTATTCACTGTACTGACTGGGTACCTACTTAAACTCCTCTGGAGCACTGATCTTCAAGTATCTTTTGTTATTTCTGTCCCCATCCTCTTCCAGTCTGTATCACTTTCTAGCCTCCTCCAGTAACAGTCAGATGGTCAGAACCACTTCTGATCATTCAATAAACAGGCATTCATTAAGTGCCTACTATGTACAATGCTCTGTTATCTTCATAAAATCCTCAGGGCCTCACTTGCTTTCTCTTCACAGACCCTCCAGCTCCCTAGCACCAGCCTCTTTATCCATGCCAGCATCCTCCTGGCAGACTCCCTCCCAGGCCCCCGCCAGACAGCATCCTTGAGACCCATTCGAGGGCTGAGCCTTGGAGAGCCCAGCATAGTGGGGGCGAGGGGAGAGAGAACCCCAGTCACTGAGTTTCCTCTGTGCTTCAGGGTCCTGTGGAGATTTTGTGGGCTGCTGCCTGGGCAAGGAAGGAGTCACTCACACATCCTGGCTGTTGCTGCCACCTCCAAGGAGGGCTTTTGGACTGCAGAATGTGGAGCCAGAGAGGCCTCCAGGACTGGAAGGAGGGAAAGAACAGTAAATGGGTGTTTATGTGAACCATAAAAGTGCAATAACGCTCTAATGAACATTTTTAAGAACAAGGCTGTGGAAACAGCATTCCATAAAATACCCCTGACTGTGGGAAGCATGTGATGCCTCTGGTCCTGCCCTGAGCATGGCAGGGCATTCTACTTCCCTTGGACGCAGGGCCCTGTTCCAGTCCTAACCCAGGCCCATCCCCGGGTGCTTCCTGGAAAGCAAGACCCTTTCCCCAGAGTGCAGAAGTACAGGATCATAGAGGATATGCATGGGGAAAAGGTATATGTAGATTCCAGGGCCCCTGGGGTCAGAAAGCCTGTTCTTCCATGAAAAGAAAGGGCCCTCCTTTCACCGCTGTCCCCTCCTCCATCCCTCCTAAGCCCAGCCCCAGCTTTGTACTGCTGCCGGTTTCCAGGCCTTAGCCAGAGGGTCCCAGAGAGGCACAGTCAGAAAGCTCAAGCAACTCCTGATTGTCGGAGCACAGACAGAGCCTTTCCTCTGCTTTGGGGAAGCAGATTCTCCTCGGGGCATGGAAAGCTGTTTGTTATAGGCCATCCTGTAAACACTAGAAAACGCTGGTGAAATCCTGGGATTGCTCAGAGGTCATTTTGAGTTTTTACCCATTAACACACACAGGCTATTTCGAAGTAGCAAGAGTCTGGTGGGCTCCATGCAGAGGGAGGGGCTGGGTTGGGATCTGGAAATGTAACCCCCAAATTCCCCTTCTACACAGTTTTCTAGCATGACTTAGAAAACCAATCACTCGCTACATAGCAGGCAAGATTAAAGGGACAAGTTTTCAAGGCAGTTTCCTGGGGTGCAAGATGCCACATTTAACTTTGCTCTTGGCAGTGGGGTGAGGGTGAAGTCTCTCTCTGGGTCTCCCCTCCACGCTGCTGGAGGCCAAGCCCACTTAGCTTCCTGTGTCCCCGAGAGCACCAAGGTGCCCTGATCCCATGGAAAGGGCATGTTCTTGGGAGTGATCCTTTTCTTTCCATCAAGAACAAAGGAAACTAAAGTGGAGTTGTAAAAAATGACCCTCTTTTATTTTTTTTCCATTTTTTAATTAACAAGTATTTATTTTCTCTCCCTCCCCCTCCCCAGCCCCTATTTAAAATAAGAACAAAACCCTTTTTAGCAAACATGAACGTCCAACAAAAACACATCCCCACCTTGTCTATGTCCAAAAAGTCTATATTTGGAGTCCATCCCCTCTGGGTCAGGAGGCAAATGGCATGGTGGCATCCTCCTTACTCTAGAATCATCAGAATCCTTCTTAAGTTTTTCAAAGGTCTTTATCCTTTCGGCATGGTTGCTTTTTTTTATATAAATTGTTCACCTGGTTCCACTCAATTTCTCATTCTCTCTTTTAAAAAAAAATGTACTGTCTTATTTCTCTGTTATTTTCATTTGTGTTCCATTCTTCGTGACCCAATTTGGGGTTTTCTTGGCAAAGATACTATAGTGATTGGCCATTTCCTTCTCCAGTTCATTTTACAGATGAGGAAACTGAGGCACACAGTTAGTAAGTGTCTGCCACCAGATTTGAAATCAGATATTCCTGACAGCAGGCCCTGTACTCTATCTACCATGCCACCTAACTGCCCTGAACCCTGACTATGTTCCACAATTATTAAACTGTCTCGTGGACCCATCTGAATGTTGCTTTGCACCCCTCATCCTCCTGCAGATTAACAAATATTTATTGAACTGAAACCCAACGTCAAAGCATCATAGCTTTACAGGTAATCAAGCTCAATCTCCTCTTTTCACAGAGGAGGAAAGTGAGGAAGTTACTTGCCCAATGTCACTCAGTCCATGAATGGCAGACCCAGAATCTAACCGAGGTCCTCAGCCTCCCGTTTCAGAACTCTCCTTTGAGCTATGCTGCCTCTCAACTGCTAGAGGATCGCCCTGGTCAGCTAGCATCTGGAATGCTGTGTCCTGGTCTGGGCCACCATGTTTTTAAAAGGCATTGGCAAATTTTGGCATGACCTGAAGAGGGTGACCAGCATAGTCCAGAGACTGCTATAGGAGATTTGATGGGAGGAACTGAGGGTTGTTTGGCCCGGAGTAGAGGATATCGGAGGTGGTGGCAACACAAAATGATCTTCAACATTTGAGAAGTCATCATGTGTAAGGGACATTAGACGTACTCTGCTTGACCCTGGAAGGGAAAGGTAGGACCAATGTGGGGAATTGCGAAGAAGTCAATTTAAGCTTGATGCAAAGACAAACTTCTTATGAATTAGAGCTGGTCGAGAGTGGGAGGCATTGGACTCCCCCTCCCCCTCTGTAGAAGTCTGCAAGGATTGGCCGATGTCCACTCATGGCGGATGTTAGAGTGAGAATTCTGGTACAGGTATGGACCGTTCCTCCAAGGTCCCTTCCAGCTCCGAGATTGGGATTCTCTTGTCGCAAGATTTGGAGGGAATTGAATTGGAAGATTGCCAGAGTTGGAGAAAAACCTAACCCATGAGCCTGTGCGATGTTCACAGATTTTTTTCCTGGAATACTTTGTGTCTTTAGATGCTCCTGGAGGAGGTAATATCTTTAACGGAGGAAGGAAGGAAAGGAAAAGGAAGGGGAGGGAAAGGAAGGCAAGGCAAGGGAAGGGAAGGAATGTGAGAGGAAAGAGATGAATGTAAGTGAGAAGGAAGGAAGGGAAGAATGTGGAAGGAGGAAGGAAGGAAGGAAAAGAAAAAGAAACTGGATATAGAATAATTATAATGATCAAATGTGACCCCTGAAGAAAAGAAAACATACCTTCTTCCCTTCCCTACAGAGGTCAGAGACCATGAGAGTGGAACACGGCACCAACTGTTAAACTTGGCTGATATTTTGCTTAGTTTTGCTAAGCTCTTTTACTCTCTCTTTTATTCTTTTTTTTTATGGGATGGCTCCTTGGGGAAAGGAGCAGGAAAGGGATACATTTGGAAACAAAGGTGGTGTGGAAAAAAATCAAATGATATTAATACAAATTTTATTTTTTTTTTAAAGTCAGCGAATGTTCTGCATTAAAGATTGTGGCTTTAAAGCTGGAAGGGGTCTTAAAGACCATGGAGTCCATTCAGTCATTTGACCAACTGAGGTCCAGAAATAGGAAGCAATTTGCTCAAGGTCATACAGGCAGTAATTGGCAAAACAAAGATTTGAACCCAGGACAGAACAAACCCGGGGCTCTCCAAATGGACAGTTTTAAAAATCTCATAATTCCAGCATTGTGCTCCACCTTTTATGGGGCAAACCACCTCCCTCTGACCCTGCTTGCAGCATGCAGATGCATTCCTGGAGCACTCCAGCCAAAGAATGTTTTTATGTATTTTCCAGTGCCAAAGCAAACCCAGGCCAGTGAGCCCCAGCAGCAGAATAGGGCCCTTCCTACAGCCGCCAAAGCTTCCTTGCTTCCTATTTTCTTTCTTTACGGTTTCCTCTGATTTTGAAAGGCTCCAGATTGTTCGCAGAAAAGAAAACCTTTCTTTTAAAAATAAAATCTTGAAAGATCTTAATTTCTAATTTTTTCCATTGAACGATTTCAAAAGAAGCTTCTAATAAGCAGGCCGGAGGTGATTCAGCCCCAAGGTGTAGTCACCTCCAGCACCACCTCCAACATCTCATGTGCCCAGTGAAGATTGTTGAGTTTTATTGGTGCCTGCCTCTTGTTTTACTCGTTTCCACTGCTTCCAGGACACCCCACCCCCACCTCATCACAAAGAAACACAAGACAAAGTCACTGGCACATTTACCCCTCTGGGCTGTGAATGCAGCCTTGGGCACCTGTAGTCATCCCATCTCTCTACTTCAAGGAGGAAGATGTTTCTGTGCCTTTCTCTGGGGCCAACATCGGTTATTACCATTACGCTAAGGTCTCACTTCTTTTTCATATATTTGTCATTTTCGTCACAGTAGTGATTGTTCGTGTTGGTTTCTTGTTCCGCCTCGAATCAGTTCCTACAAATCTTCCCGTGCTTTTCTGCCCCGAGATGAGACACCCTTCTCTGACTCCATACCATGACCATCCTGGTTGTGCTTAACCATGCAATGATGAAAGGAAAGGCTGCCGGGCCACCGATTGCACACAAATAGCTTGTGCAGAGCATCTGCTCTCCAACTCCGCCGTCAGACCCTCCTGCTTGTGAGTGTGTGCGCGTGGCTGACAATACCCTTTTTTCTTCTTGTTTCTCTCCCAGGTGAATACATCATCATGGTACAAGAAATAACTACGCCACCCTTCCTGGGCAAGATGCTCCCCACAGCCTTTGTGCACCTCAAAGTTTTGCCAAGGAAAAAGCAGCAATCTCTGAGGGACTCCTAGAGAAGTCCCACACCCCCTTTTGGGTAGGACCTGCCGGGCCAGAGGAGGTGATGCTTCTTCCTTTTCCATTGAGCCCCTTCTGCTGGGTCAGGTCTTTCCACCTTGATTAAGAGATGCTCTGGGGTACTCACCCCAGTATCTGGTGCCCTCGTTCTGCCCCGGAGTCGATGACTCCTGTTCCTCCCACCCCATCCTCATTAGAATCTGATGTGAAAGGAAGCACTGTATTTCTAACAAATTCCCTGATAGATCCTTGATAAGGAAGGGCCCAGCATATCCCTCTGCTCTGCTATTTAGGGAGCAACAAATCCACCTGTGCTTGGGTTTCATTGAGTCTCCAAAAAACCCTTTTCTGACATGCTTACAATTTTGATCTTCCTTCCCAAATCTGCTGGGATTTCAGGGTGTCACTCTTATTGGCAGCAGACCCAGTGTCACTGACGGATCATCCCCAGCAGACATCCTGCCCTCTTCCAACAATGGGCTGCCTCCATGGTTGAGTCACACATCTCACCCCCTCCAGCTTCAGGCAGCCTCTGACATCAGTCTGGGCCAAATGTCTCCACTCAGCTGCCTGTCCTCCACAGATCTGCCCCCACTTGGGCCTGGGGTCCCAACAGAAGGGTGAAATCACAGGACAGAATTCTTTTGAAGCAGGAAATCCTCAGGAGTTCATAAAGCATGTGGGAAGTTGTGTGTACCAATGAATTCCTATTTCCCAGGCAGTTTGCTATGCAAACAAAAAAACAGGGGCCAGGTACATTGTATGTGCCATGCTGGACAAGAAAGTGTTCACTTTTCTTGTTGTCCTTTCCACTGTCTCATTTCTAAACCCTCAATGTGTTGGGATGCAGTGGCTGGTACCTGAGTCAGAGAACTGCTCCCTGGGCTGGGGAAGCTAGGAAATGTTCCCCACTGTCAGAGACCCATGCTGGAGACTCTCTAAGCAGGCCCGACACTTAAAAAAATTATAGTAAGTTTTAATGATGCCTTTATTTTCCACATCGATGTCATTTCTATATAAGCTATATATTTCTATCATCTCCATCCACCTCCCAACCCAGGAATGAGTGCTCCTCTGTAACAAAGAAAAACAATGACTCCAAACCCACCAATTTCTGCCTCTGATAGAGTATCCAACATTCTGCCCCCAGCCCCTCTACCAAAAAGCAGAAGCATCTCTCCTAGAACCAAGAAACCTCACTCAGTTCGTACTCATCTTTCTTCCTCGCTTCTCGGAGTTTCCCCTGTCTGTCATTTCTTCTGGCACAATAATATTCCACGATGTTCATGGGCCAGTTTGTTCATCCATCTTCCAATCAATGGGAATCCACTTTGTTTCAAGTTTATCTGTTGGTTTGGGTTTTTGCTACCACAAAAAGGGCTTCTAGGAATGCTTTGGTATGTATGGGATCTTTCTTTGTGTCTCTGGTCTCCTCTAGAGGTGTGGGGTCACTGGGTCAAAGGGTATGCTAACAGCGTAGTCAGAATAAGCCAGGTCCAATTCTCTAGTGACACCCTTGGGGTCCCAGGTGACTGTTCACCACTGGATGGGTGAGTCACAGACAATGTGTTGTCTGGGTCCTGGCACATGGAGCCAACCCAAGCCATGCTCCAGGTGGTTTCACTGGGCAATGCTATGGGTACCCGAGGCATTTCTGGGCCAATCTTCACTGATTGGCCTCTATTCTCACTAATGAAACATCCCCTAATAATATTCAAGCCCAGAGCAAGAAAACATTTCCCCCCCATAATGTGTTCCCTTCGAGACAAGGAAACACACCCAATTCACACTCGTTGGTAGTGGGGAAAGTCATAACCCAGTCGATAACAGTGGAAAGGAATCCAGAGGCAATAAAGACATAATTGTTTTTTTCCGGAAATGGTTTAGGTCTTTGGTGTCCTATTCCTGAGGCACGTGTCCCTGTAAAATTTCTCCCTTGTCTGTCGGGAAAGTAAAGAATTTGCAGAAAAGATTCTCTGTGGAGCCAGGGCTTTCTTAGTACCACTCATCAGGCTGAATAAGACAAGCTCCTAGGAACCTGTCTTCACAGACAAGTGGAGGGGAGATTTAGTAAGCAGCCACTTTCTGTGGTCAATAGGATGAGAATAAACATCATTTATTTTTCTAGTGGATTTTAAGATTTACAAAGCTCTTCTCCCTCTCCTTTCCTCCCTTTCTTCCTATCTTCCTTCTTTCCTTCTTTCTTTCTCTCTTCCTTCCTTCCTTCCTTCATTTCCTCCTTTCTTCCTTCCTTTTTTTTAATGAGTATAAGGAACTCCCAGTGAGGAACAGATTGCAAGTTTACGGTGTTAGCTCTCTTGGGCTCTAAAGGGAAGTGATTTACCCATGGGTTCCAAAACATTCTTTCTTCACTCTAACCTAGGAGGTATAAAGTACAGTATGATTCTCCCCATTTTACAGAGGAGAACACCAAAGCTCAGTAATAAGCATGCCCAGCCCAGAGCCCCCCGGGTAGTTCAGTGTTGGAACCAGGATTTGAACTTGGGGTGCCATGGAAAGAACATGGGATTTAGATCCAAACCCCAGCCTGTTAATTTAGTATCTGTCTTTGACCTACTTAGGGAATGTGCCCTAGTGGAGGAATCCAAAGGCAATAAAGACATAATTAGTTCCCCTGGAAGCTTTGTATATCTTTGGTGATCTCTTTGAGGTAAGCAGACCACCCTTTAAAGTCCTCTATAGAAGAAGTAGTGCAGATTGATGAGAGACACAGACATACAGAATGGAGAAGGCATTGGGTTTGGGATGAAGACTTGATTCAAATCCCACCTCAGATTCTTCCTAGCTAAGGAACCTGGGCAATCCCTTAACCTCTGTTTGCTTCAATGTCTTCCTTCGTAAAATGGGGAAACAGCAGCACCTACCACACAGGATTGTTGTGATGATCAAATGAGATCATATTTGTAAAGTTTAGTACTGTACTTGGCACAGAGTAGGTACTATATCAATGTGTATTTCCTTCCATCCCCCACTTCACCCCCAACCCTGTATAAACCTTTTATTTCTCTGTGCATCAGTTTTCTCATCTGTAAAATGGGAAAGGGTAGTGACCATGATAGCCTCTGAGGTCCCATGTAACTCTAAAACTGTGATGCCATGACTTAAAAAAATCCCTTTTCTATGGTATTTTCAGATTTACAAAGCGCTTTTTGTATATAAATCTTATGAGGTCCCTGGCACATACTCCTCCTCCTCCTCCTCTTGCCGACGACTACAACTACTACTGCTACTACCACTATTACTACTACCAACTGCTACTACTACTACCACCACCACCACCACCACTACTATTATTGCTACTACCAACTACTACTACCAGTACTACTACTACTATTACTACTACTACTATCACTACTACTACTACTACAACCACTACTACTACTACCACTATTACTACTACCAACTGCTACTACTACTACTACTACCACCACCACCACCACCACTACTATTATTACTACTACCAACTACTACTACCAGTACTACTACTACTACTATTACTACTATTACTACTACTACTACTACTACTACTACTACTATCACCACCACCTCCACCTAGCTATCTAGCTAGCATTTATATCTTACCTTAAAGTTTGCAAAGCACTTTACAAATCTCATTTGACCCTCACAACAACCCTGGGAGAAAGGTGCCATTATTGTTAGTCCCATTTTGGAGATGAAGAAAAGGAGGCAGGCAGAGGTATTATGAATTGCCCAGAGTCACACAGTTACTAAGTGTCAGTGGAAGAATTCTAATTCACATCTTCCTGACTCCCAAGCTTAGCATCTATCCACTAAGCTGCATGGCTTCCTAGATATTTAATAAATATATGATGACCGAGGTCAACCTGGTAAGTGGTTTTATCCCCATTTTATAGATGGGCAGACTAAGACTCAGAGAAACCAAACAGTGATGAAGCTGGGATTTGAACCCAAGTCTCCTTGACTCTAAACCTAGCTCTCTTTCAAATTATACTTGTGTGTTCTCCATCTCCCAGAAGGAAGGGAGGAAACAAGCATTTATTAAGCACCTACTATGTGCCAGAATCATGCTAAGCATCTCATTATATCTACACAACAATCATGGGAGATGGGTGGCTGCCATAATCTCCATTTTACAGTGGGGGAAACTGAGGCAGACAGAGGTGAAGTGATTTACCCAGAGTCATTCAGCTAGTAAGTATCACAGTTCTGCCTGAGTGTTCTCTCCACTAGCTGCCTCTGAGGAACAGCTGAAAACCTGCTGTATGGAACTTTTTGTTCTGATAAAAATTATTGTCCTGTGCAACCCAGAACACAGACCCTCCTCACCTCTCCCTTTTGGAATCTTCCTCTTCTTTCAGAACTCAGTTGGGGGGCTACCTCCTCCCACTCCCTTAGCTCAAAGGGTTTTCCTTCTCTTTACATCTTCCTAGAATACTCTGATCTGGCTTTGGGTGACATCATACCCCACCTTGTAATACACTCCTTTGTATCTGCCTTATATGATGTCCCCTCCAGGAAAATGGAACCTCTTTGAAACAGGGACACTGTCTGTCTGTCTGTCTCTGTCTATCTGTGTATGTGTCTCTATCTCTGTCTCTCTATCTCTCTCTCTGTCTCTCTTTCTCTCTCTCTCTCTTTCTCTTTCTCTCTCTCTTTCTCTTTCTCTCTCTCTTTCTCTCTCTGTCTCTCTCTCTGTCTCTCTCTATCTCTCTGTCTCTGTCTCTCTCTTTCTCTCTCTCTTTCTCTTTCTCTCTCTCTCTTTCTCTCTCTGTCTCTCTCTGTCTCTCTCTCTATCTCTCTGTCTCTGTCTCTCTCTCTCTTTCTCTTTCTCTCCCTCTCTTTCTCTCTCTCTCTTTCTCTCTCTGTCTCTCTCTCTATCTCTCTGTCTCTGTCTCTGTCTCTCTGTCTCTCTCTCTGTCTCTCTCTCTCTCTCTCCCTCTCTCTCTCTCTCTTTCCCTCCCTCCCTCCCTTCCTCTTTCTCTTTCCTTTATCACCGTAGCACCCAGAACACACAGGTATTAGGTACTTAGTAAATGTTAGTGGAATAAAACTGGAGCATTAGCAAGAGATGCATAGAACAGTAGGAGGAATGTGCTGGTGTCAGTCAGAGGCCCTGCTGGAATCCAGCTCTGCCCCTTACGAGCTGTGTGACCCTCAGACAAGTCACTTCATGACTCTGGATCTCGAGTTTCTCGTCTGTAAAACAAGTTACCGCAGACCTGGAGCTTGCTGGGAGCTCAGAGACCACCTAGTGGGAGGCCCTCATTTTGGAGATGAGGACGGAGGCTCAGGGGAGCCAAGGGATTTGCCCACACACATATTTGAACATTATAGGCAGGATCTGAACCCAGGGCCTCTAATTCCAGAGCTAGAGCTCTTTCCCTCGCTCCATGTAACTGGACGACTGAGTTGGCCTCTGAGATCCAAACCTCTGAGCTCTTCATCCGTGACCCTGTGATACATAATTAATTACGCCTCTGGAGGCAGACTTGGCCACCCTGATCAGTCCCACCCAGGCCAGACTATATCCCAGCTTCCCCCAAATCCCTGAAATCCAAGTGAGTGTGCTCGTGTTCTGAGCCTTCGTCTCATCACTGGAAGCATTCATCCTGGCTGGCATGCCTAGGGGGCAGTGCCGCTCAGTGGGCAGAGGATCTCAACCAGCCCCCTGAGTTTATGAATGCAGAGGTTCCTTTTTCTGTGGCCTCGGAGGAAATTTCGCCAGAGCCCGGGCTGGATTGTGCACAGATGATCCCTTGTTTGCTCCTGACATGCTGCCCATTCCAAATTGGAAACTCGCCTCAGCCTTCCTGAGCACTTACGTCTCAAACAAAGAGCTCTTACGTGGGTGGCGGCGGGTGGCAGGGAGAGAATTGGGGCAGGGGGCAGAGAAGGCCTCCTCCCATGGCAATCAAGGCACTGGGAAATTCATTTTCAGGTGATAAACCAATAAGGAAAAATTGTGTTCGCATAGGAAAGATAAACGGAAGGTGGCCCAAAAAAAACGCAAGCCCACATACTGGCAAAACAGTAAAAACCAGCCAGATGACCAGATGACCCATCCACCCCTTCCCCAACGGCCGTTCTTCGTGCCCTTTATGCCCCACACCCACTCTTTGCCTTTCTGCCCCTTCCTGCTGCTTCCCTTCTTTGCCATTTTTCCTCAATAATATCACAAAAGATTGGCTCCAATCTGTGCCCCTGGCACAAAGGCCACACTGTTAACCAGCAAATGGGCAGAGAGACTGGGCACCGCCTTAGGTGTGAGCTAGCCCCCTCCAGCCTAGAACGTGAAGAGCTCAATGGACTGCAAGATCCAGCGACCCCAGATGGGGGCGGGGGAGAACGAAGACAAGCCCAGCCCCACACATGGAGCGCTGAGCATATCCGTGCAGATATTTTGACACAGCATCCCTGAAAACCTGAAATTATTCTCTGGTTGTGAGGTGGTACTTTCTCTCTTGCCTGCTTGGTAGTGGAAGCACTAGGAATGATGGACCAAATAAGGTGAAATCTAAAAGAAATAAAGCCTTAGAATTAGGTTCAAAACTCCACCAATACAAGAGAATATTAATAATAATTTATATAGAGCTTTAAGTCTTGCAAAGTATTATATATCTACATATAATTTCCCTATGGATTTTATATATGTCACCTATTTGTAGACTATATATATACATATATCACCTAGTTATAGATTATAGATACATATATGTCATCTATAGATGACAGAGGCTAGTTTAAACCCCACCCCACCCATGGCCACCCCATTTTACAGATGGAAAGATGGAGGCCAAGTGACTTGCCAATGGTCTCAAAGGAAGAACATGTCAG